TTTTGGCAGTTACCGAGTGTGACTGCAGAGACACATGCGACGCCGACCAGGCGTCCGTCCTCCAGCCGAGGAGAACTCCACCGGCGGTATTCACAGCAGGCAACAAGGCATACTCAAATGATGTTCCTAGGCATTCAGAAGCAAGTTGGTTGCAGACATTGGAGAGCTTAGTCTCCTGCAAGCAAACAAGCGACACCCTCTCCTGGACGATCAAATCCCTTACGACGTTGCGCCGCGCACGACCATTTAGGCCACGGACATTGCAGACGAAAATGTTTTCGTTCGACATCGACAACATTTGGCGACAAGGATGCAGATGTTGCCTAGACCTCAAGCTCGACCCCCTCGACAAGCTGGATGCCGTCGATCGCACAACCGGCCGGGAACAGCCTCCTGATCGCTTCCCGCTTGGACTCCAAGAGGGGCCCGCCGAACAGGGCCAGGTACTCATCGAACTCGCCGTCCGCTCCGGTCTGTGTAGCCGGCTGCTGCGGGCGTACTCCCCACTTGGCCATCAACACGTTCTGTGCCTGCACCGTTGGGTTAGGTGCCCTGCATCTGCTCTTGGCCGCGAGCCTGCCGCTCCGACGCGGCGGTGAGAGCGCATTGTCCACCACACGACGCCTCCTGGGGGCACGTAGTCGTGGGGGCTCAACAATGATAGGCTCCGTGATGATGGAGCACAGCTGCCACTGGAGGCACCTTGAGATCTCCCGCGGTGTTGCCGGAGCCGACACCGCCGCCGACGCCGCCGCGTGTTGCCCAGGCTCGGTGGGAGAGGCCGTAGGCGGTGCAGTAAGCCTAGGTGGCGTCCTGTCGTGATCAGGCCTCGGCGTCGTCCATGCGAGGCCCGGGCCATCCTGGTATGTTGTGCAGGCCAGCCGGTTTGGGCCGACGAACTCTGCCTAGACGCGGTTAGAGTTCGAAGCCTCAGGCACATGGGGACCAGCGGACACGTCTGCCCCTAACGTCGAGTAGGACGAACGAGTTGGGCCTGCGAACTTGGCCTCGATGCACTGAGCCCACCAGTCCTCGGGGGCCGCCGGATAGGGGGACGCCTGGATGCGACGGCCCCCATGGAGTAGCTGCGGGTCGGCTGCGAGTAGGCGGCCCACAAAGCCAGCCGAAGAGCCTTCAAACACAAGCAGCAGCATAGGAGATGGGCTCGTTGGTACCAGCAGCCGACAGACGCCCTCGGCACCCGAGGCAGAAGTCAGCGCTACAGCGATCGGCGTGGCCGGCGTGGAAGCCAGCTGAAAAGGAGATACGTCAGCGTGGTGTGGAGCATTGTCCAACAGTGACGGGGCATCAGGCACGCGCTCCCGAGGACGCGCAGGCGCACGCACTCGAGGCCGTGGCGACTCGACATCCGGGATCTTGCGTGGACCACCAATTGCGACGCCCGCACGCATGAGCCCATTCCTGCCAGGGACCAGCAGGCAACAAACCGTCCCGACCAGTACGGACGGCCGTGCCAAGGTGGTCGGGCAAGACGGCAACGAGCGACCACAACGACGACGGTTGATCCCAGGATGATAGCGGTTAAAGTTGCTGTCGGCGGAGCCATCGTCGTCGCTGTCACGCCCGCCGGAGTAGTCATCCTCGGGGGTCGGCCCCCGCGGCGGGCCGCCGCACCCATCATGAACCCCGTGGTGGAAGTTGCCATCGCTTGGACCGTCGTCTTCATCAGCATCACCCCCACCATGGCCATCGTCCGCAGGGGACGCAGGCGGCGCGTTCCAATCTTGGAATGCAACTAGGCGCAGCCTCACGAGGTAGCGCAGCCCCGGAAGCACGGTCAGAGCGGCCTCGACGGGGCTGAGGATGCGCGGCTCCGGGATGAACACGACCTGCTCGTCGGGGATGAACCGTGGATGCAAACACCATGCTGTGACGAAGAATTCCCGGTCGTCATCCGCCGGTACATCGCTTGGCCGGACAACGTCAACCTCGGCACAAGCGTGCCCGAGGATGGTCTGCGCCGTGGTCGCGTTCCGGGCATGGAGGGGGACGCGCCTCATCCCCACCAGCACCCTAAACTTGCTCCATCAATCATCAACCATCACATCTATTCTCCTAGTAGCTATAGACTTGTGAAACCACCGTCTATGCATCCAGAGAATTCCTTGACTAGGACTAGATATGCATATGTGTCTGTCGAATCCAATCATCCATCACACACACGATTCACGTGCAGTACAATTAAACTGACATGCATAAACTATTGCGTAACAAGTCCATTTTGAATTAGTCTCCTGCGTTGCATCAATCATATTATATGTTTCCAAATGTATGCTTGCTTATAGCGCAAGTTCTTACACCTCTGACTCGATCAGGGCCTCAGGGGTGCTTGCTCATCAGTGTTATAGTTCAACTGCCTGTCTGTTGGTTCTTCTGCATATGTATGTTGTCACTGGTTGAGAAGGCACGACTAATAAGGCATGCGAGGAACAAGAAACATCTCTTTCAAAGTGTTGGTGCATTCATTCATGTGTGAATGTGTGTCCAGCAACAATACAAATTCACCAATCTGGCCTAACCTGTGTGTTGTGCCTGCGTCAAGATTGGTGGCTGCCTCACCTTACCTCACCTGTAACTGAAGAAAAATCCCTCTATTCTGCAAGATGTACAAAGCACCTGGATATAAATTAATGTGGTCCCATACCCTCTGAAATCTGGATGATATGTAGTGTCACTGTGTCAGTGTCAAGACATTGTTCACTTGGTACAATCTGGTATAAATATCAAATATTTCGTTTGAGATCAGCAACACAATTGGATAAAAACGGCGGAAAGTATCCTCTATGTATATTATACTCCAAACAAAAGCTTCTTGTCCGACAAATCACAAATGTATATATGACAAGGATAGTCTTAGATTATATCCTTTCTGCCCATGCATTCACATCAGTAAGAACAGAGGTATCCAGTATGCAACAGGTTCATTGTAGGTGAGCCTACGTGTTGGCGTTTCAACATAAAATCTGCATAAACATTCCTACTCTTTTTTTTTTCTTAGCGCAAAATGGAGTCCTAAGAATGGACAACACTCTGTAGCTTGCCAACAATGATTGTACAACACAGAGATATTTGTACAACCCAATTTCATCAAGTCCAGTCCTGAACATTCAGATCAGCATTGAAAACTGAAGCTTCCTGCATCTTTTGCTTTCCTTTCGGTTTTGTGCTTTACAAGTCACAACATTAAATCTAGAACCTAGTACAATCATTTTATCACTTGCAGTGTGCATGGCCCCATTTTTGGGAGAGAGACAGAGAATGATCAGAGTATTAGGAAAGCTCTTGCCAAAAGGGGAAAAAATCAAAATAGTGAGTGTGTGTGTGTGTGTGTGTGAGAGAGAGAGAGAGAGAGACTAGTCGGACATATTCCCAACAAAATTAGGACGTAAAGAAGTTAAACTGCAAAGCTTCTCTTTCCCTTGTCATGAAACTGTTTCAGGACGTGTCAGAAATTCGTTTAGACAAAAAGAGAATCACTCGTTTAGTATAAAAGTAAGAATACAAAATAATACTTCAATGGCAATTCGTATAAACCTGACTTGCTCAGTGACAAGGTATTAATATTTCAAAAAATAGTGTGAAGTCAAGTCTAGAACAATTTAAAAAAAAAACTGAAGAAGCTGAACAGCGAGTCTAGAACATTTTTTTTATAAAAAAATGAAGTAGTATGACTACATGGTAGGGACCATATATATGGAAACATAGCAGGGGTGTGGTACTACCACCATTATCGTCGTAGGTTCATCCGTCAATCTACATTCTACTAGTTGGCAAACACAATCCAGAAAACTCGTTCGTTGATTGGAACTTCATGTGTGTGTGTACAGCTAGGCTGTTGAATCGATTCATTGATTATGTACAGTAGAATTAAAGTGACACTCTGCAACAACTCTCCGTTTAGAATTAGTCGTGATGCAACTTCTTAGACCAATCGGTGGTGCCTGATGATGGATCGGTCTTAAAAACTCGACTGCTTCAATTCGTTGGCTGCTGCTGCTGCTTATCTGCATTGCCATTTCTTCAAGGACATCTTTGTCAGACCTGTCGTTGAGACATACATTCATGTGTGTGTTGGCTGTGTCAATTTAAACATGGAGGGTGCGTCACCTCTCACCTGCATCTGCAGAAAAATGATGCACATAGCACCTGGTCACCTGGATAGAGACGTCGCTGTTCCCTTTGAAATTGATCGGACCTAATCTGGTCAGATGATGCAATCGAGATCACGCCATTGGTTATTCACGCAATCAAAAATCCATCACACCTGACTTTGGGATCACAAAAGAAAAGCGTACAATACATGGCATTGGCAAGCCTAGTTAGCCCAAAAAAAAATGCATCCTCCCTTGCCCCTGCCATATCGGTACGATATCCAATTTTGGAACAAATTCGTCATGGCAACATTTGTTCAGCATGTCAAAGCGTAGCATAGCAAACTTGCCAAATCCTAGCCTTTCTCACATCTTAAAATAAGAGGGGGGAAATGTTAGTACACAGTTCTGCATAATGTGCAAGTTGGCAATTCAGATTTGCATCAGCCATTCATACTTTTTCTACAGAAACCATCCCAGAAATGTTCAACACTACGTAGCTCGGCAACAACCACACTGTTCTGCATAATGCGCATGTTGGCGTTTCAGGATTTGCATCAGTTGTTCCTACTTTTTCTACAGAAGAAACACAATCCCAGAAATGGTCAGCACTATGTAGCTTGGCAGCAACCATTTGTCAATACCTACTATTGGCCGATTCAAGCAGGATCCTTGGACAAACACTATTCCATCATTCCAGTCCAAGGCATTCACATCAACATCCAAAAGTGAAGTCCCCAGCGTGAGGTGATGCTACCGAGTGCCAAACAAATTAGGGCGATGAGAAGTTAAACTGTACGCCTGCCTTCCCCCTGTCATGATCAAACTGTTTTAGGATGTAGCAGTAGTTCATCTGGAAAAGAGGAGAAAACCATGTTAAGTAAACTTTTAAGCACCAACTTCACCACTAAATTCACCGGAAATTTTGAAGAGTGCAACGGGATGGACCTCTATGCGGAACAGTCTGGTTGGCACAACTACACCGAAGCCTGCAGAACTTCTGAATGTCTGTAGGAAGTCAGTAAGGGAAAACTTCCCAAAACCATGCTCTGTTAGTTTAGCCAGATTTCCAGCAGAAACGAATGCATGGCCGTGAATTCCCAGCTCCCTGAGCGGCTTCAGAGGAAGATCAAATGACAGATCAGCAAAGGCTGTGACTGCTACGTCACCTCCCCCATGTAGCTCAGGAGAAGCATAAGCACCATTCTCAGAATTAGTTGGGGCAGAGGTTCCGAAATCTTTCGGCTCCAGACCTTTTGCTTTGAAGCCTGAGAGTGATGATGGTCCACCCAAGCGACAAACAAGGTACCTGTTACCACCCAAGTCTTGTGGATCTCCTTTCCAGCGCAAGGATGACTCCTGCAGCCATGCCAGCATTGAGAGCGCCATTCAGCACACCAAGTGGGAAAGCCACTCGAAGATCAACTTCCTGATAGGCAATCAACAAAATGAATGATGTTAAGCACGACTAAATAAATATGTTTCAGTTTGAATCAATCCAGTTGTTTAACTAAAAGAAATCCTGATGTGCAGTGTGTTAGATCATATACAATATTAAAATGGTGAAATTCAAATTTAAAACTGCCACCTTTTTTGCTAGGAACTAGGACTGAAGACAAAGCCAACCGCCATTTGAGTGCTTTAGCAGACCATAAAACTTGCTGTTTTTTAGCATTGGTCACTAATCATAGAAACAATCAAAAAGTATATTTCAAGGGAGAAAATTCGGGATATGACCACGATGTGCACGGTACTAGTACTGATTGTGCAGTTGGAAAAGAAACTAGGATTTACAAAGACAATGCATAATGAGTATAAAACGTCCAAAGACTTGGCTACCAAAGAAAAAGAAAAGTAAAAAAGGATATGATTAAAAGGTGTACACCCTGGTTTTATGGAAAGCAAAGGATGACTAGAAAGGAAATCAGATATACCTGACGAAGAAATCACAGGTCTTTGCTTCCTGGTGCAATGCATCCAAATTGGGAAGATGACAAAAAAGCATACCCACGTGTAGGCCTTATGCTTGAGTCCCTCTGGTCAACCTTGTACGCATACTTAATAGAGGACAAAAGGCTATGCCCTAAATGCTCTTGTATGGAATTGGATGACATGCGTGCTGGATCTGTTAAATTTCGCCATATCAGGTTGCAAGCAAGGCTATGATTCATGGTGGAGAGCAAGCCAACAGAAACACCCATAATGTGCTCTTTGAGTGAAGCCTTCAACCAATCCTCCGACAGAAATGATATCCTGGCATGTAGTCTTGCTCCAATTCTTGGCATTTCCACTCCAGCACTTAGTTCTGCTATGTGATCTAATTCAAGAGCAACTGATGTATCCCAGGTCTCGCAGTTGCCAAATAGGTTCTTCAACTTCAGTGGAACTGTAATAACTTCCAATGAAAATGATCTAGCCTGCAAAAAGGTGTAGTGGTGTACACAAAGAAAATTGGTGAGACATTAGAAAGTCAATAAGAGAACAATTTGAGGTCATTCATCTGATATAGTAATGTTTGATCATCATAATTCAAACGTCATGAGTTCATGACATACACAATCTACATTACAGAGTATAGTTGCTAAAGATTGGTTACTAAAGGTCTACCTAACAGATGCACGTACAGTTAACTCTGCATGTTAAGTGACAAATAATGCATGAAAGATAAATGATTTTGAATCCAAGCAAAATTGGAGCATGTATAATGTTGGCGTAGAGGGCTACAACTAACACACAAAAGATCCTATAATGCAGAATGTTAGATGTGCAATACTGAACCAGAACAGGAACCTAATCGATTGGCTCTAGAATCAGAGTAGCGCAAATCAAGAGTCACAACTATGTTGTATCGATTCCACAATGCAGCTAAATAGAGTCCATTGACTTCGAGCTAATGCGACTAGAAGCTTCACTTTTTTCTTAAACAAATAACACTAACATTAACTGTACACCTCAAGTAGTCCTCGGGCTAGGGTTGTCTATCATCCAAGACATTGTATTTTTACTAACATAGCAGCTGCTAAAATCAAATTAAGTAGGCATGGCCATGTCTCAATATTCTGAAAGACTGCAAGCATGGGCCCAGTAAAGCCTACTTAATTGCATGAGCAGTGCGCCCTCCTTTAGGTTTGGATGTCTAATTGTGGCCTGAGGTCTCTAAAGTAAGAAATTTCAGTGTCTGGGTCTCAATTGGCAAGCCTCATTACATTTGGGACCCACTTTGCATGCCTCTCAGAATTTAACAACGGGGCCGAGAATTGTTTTGGCTTGAGTGTTTCTCTCATGTTCCAAAAGAGTGCACAACAAGACAGACACTAAATTGATGGACTCCAGTACTCCACAATAACACAAACACAATTCTTTATTTTTTATTCTTTTTTTTCCTCTGTTCTTCATCCCTACCAACTCTTCCTCACCCCTGCCATTCCCAAGTTCAGGTCAGGGACGGCGTCCCAATACCCATGCTTCTGCCGGTACTTCTCATACTCTGGCTGGAAGAAGTAAGTTCGGCATGACCATGGCACCTGCACAATGGATCACAGTAAGTACAGGAATCGAGTCCCAAGTTCAGAAATTTCCCATCACACTAACCACAGCGCAATGTTTTTAAAGAGAAACAAAGCTTCCAGCACGCATAGCATAAGCATTTTGGTTCACACATGTAACTGGCACAAATGAAATGAAATGGTGCCAAGATTGATAATCCTAAATTCCTACAAATGGCCATCACAAAGGAAGAAAGCACTCACCCCTTCATGGTTCCTGGGGCACTTGAAGAACCTCTTGCCGCGATTTTTCGTGTGCTCGCAGGTGAGCGCAATCAGCCTCACGTCCCCGCACCTGGGGCAATCGATCAGCGGCAACCCCGTCACCCAATCCACCGGGAACGGCAGCAAACCCCTAGCACTGCCACTGGATCCCCGGCTGCGCGCGGACAAGGCCTGCCCCATGTATGCTGCAGCGAGCGAGCGAGCACGGCCAGTGGTGGGAGTGGGAAGTGAGGCGAGCGACTGCGGTCTGCGGGAGGGTGCGTGTGACAGGAGGCCGCGAGGCGAGCGCCGCACGGCGAGGAGAACGTGGCGTATGGCGAGCACAAGGCGTTGCGGCGGGGAGGTAGACGGCAAGCGCGCGGCAATGCAGGCGGAGAGGAGGCCCTACGGCGCCGGCGAACAGGGCGAGCGGGGCGGAGTGGACTCGACCGTTCGACTCTTCTAGGCCGGTTCATCGGTTTATATTACTTTATTTATTTATTTGGACTCGAAAAAAGAAATGGAGAAAGAATAAATAATAAAATCTGAGAAAGGATGAGAGAAATTTCCAAACAGTTGGCAAACCATCGAGGCAACTCGGTCCTGTAAAAGGAAAACATTTTTAGTCCTATAAAAAGAAAGTATTTTTAATTTGATGTGCGGGCTTGCTAGCGTCTGGATGTCCACACGAACAGGGCTTCCGGACGCTCACACCTGCAGTTTGTTTCCCGCCCTGTTTCGCGTGCCTATGCAGGGCCGCACCGTCCCGAACGCCACCAGCGTCGAGAAGAGGGGAGGGGGCGGCTGATGCCCATACGACGCTAAGAGGAGGAGGAGAAACCGAGGCGAGGTAGTAAAAAGCGAGGAGCGAGATGCAACACCCATCTACTTTTGAAATATTTAGACGCAACACTTGCAACATACATCTGAATGCAGATAACACACTTGAAACATGCATCTAAAACACTTAAAAAACACTTGAAAACTATTATAAAACATACGCAACATCCAGATAAAACACTTGTAACATATGTGTGAAACATACGCAACATCCAAATAAACACACTTGCAACATACGTCTGAAAAACACAGATAAAAATTAGGAACAGGAGCTTGCAACATACGTATACAACCATTACAACATATGCAACATTTCGATCTACTTTTATAACATTCACATAAACACTTGCAATATACCTATGAAACATCTGAAACACTTAGAACATAGGCTTGCAACATGCGTTTTTCACCTTTCTTCCGTACAATGCAGCGCAGAGCGGGGGGATAGCCGGTTCTGGCCAGCGGGCAGCCGAGGATGGTGGCGCGGTCGGGCAGCGACCAGTTGCGCCTACGCCTGGGCCTGGCCAGCGACGAACCCCTCTCCTAGCCGCTTGGCCTGGGTGTGGCGAAGGACGGAGCACGGCGAGGGACGAAGGCGCCGCTGCAGTCGATGAGCACGCACATGGAGCTTGAAGGCAAAGGGTGAGCAGGGCCGGCCCTGAGGGCGGGCGGACGGGGCAGTCGCCCTGGGCCCCCAATTCCCTGGGGCCCCATCCCAGGTATATATACCGTATATTGCGTGGTTAAGAGGCTAAGAGCTTTAAGCAGCGAATAGTTTCCGTCGTTGCTACCTGCAGGTATGCTGCCTCTCGCTGCAACTGCAACAACCTGACGATTCTCATGCGAGCTATTTTTGTGAAGTCGTTTGGTTACTGCAGATAAGCGCGGTGGGTCCTGATGGCTCCAACATATAATTTAGGCTCAGTTATTATATATATAATATTAATTTGCTAGCTTCCTTCACTATCTTCTTGCATCTTCAAAGCGCACATGATTATGCATGCACCCGTACAGTAAAATCTTAACCTGCTTCTTTTATTTTCTTTTTAAATATTTTGTACAAAATCTAGTCAAACGGAAAAAATAAAAAAAATGAGTATGAGTAGATGAATTAATACAATCACACATAGAGATTTATAAAGAAGTTTTTTAAGAGTAATTCAAGCGCTTCAAGAGATCCAAACAAGATGGTGATATGGTTGTCAAGGAACCAGAGTATACCATCATTATAGTGACAGAAAATTTGAAGGTATTTTAATATATATATATATATATAGATAGATAGATAGATAGATAGATAGATAGATAGATAGATAGATAGATATATGTATGTATTGTTTCTTTGAATATCACTTTTGTATATGTAGCTAAGCGTTTATCATTAACTATTTTATACATATAAGTGTTTAAGCATCTGTATATAAGGGGCCCCTAGATTTTGGTTTTGCTCCGGGCCCCTAAAAACTCAGGGCCGGCCCTGAGGGTGAGGTGCCGCAACCGGGTCTGGCGGCAGCTACAGTCGGTGGGGCGGGGCGGGGCGGCGTTGGCGCGTTGGAGTGGGCGGCGGCGCGGCAGATTGGGACGGTAGGATGGCCGCACGACACCATGAAAGCCGCGACGGACGAGCGCGGAGTGGGGGAGACAAGCTTGCATGGAAAGATTTGATTTTTTTTTTTCTTGGGTAGACGGACGGACGCCCGTGGCCAAAGTATTACCGTTCTAAAAATGGCCGAAGATAACTCCTGTGTTTTGTGTACTCCCTACGTCCTGTAATGCATTATGACTAGTTACTAAACATACAATCTCATTGCCCATGCCCAAGCGTCCATGTCGGCACCATATCCAATTGGCAACAAATCATCATGGAAAAAAATGTTCATCGTGCCTTAGCATAGCCAAAATTCGCAAGTACAAGCCCTTCTCACACTTTAAAACTACAGGGAGAGGGGGACAATTTTAGTACACATTTCAGGATTTTAGTCATCTGTTCCTACTTTTTCTACACAACACAGTCCCAGAAATGGCCAACACTGCAGCTTGGCAACAATCGTTTATCTCTGGCTACTGTTGGCTTATTCAAGCATATCTCTGGACAACACTGTTCCATCATTTCCAGTCCAAAACATTCACGTCAGCAATGAAAACTTGAATCCCCAACCTCAGATTGCTTTCCTTTTCCTTTTGTGCTTTACGAAGTCACAGCATTAAATCCATATCCCGGTACAAACAATTTATCACTTACAGTTACAGCGTGAGAGGGAAGGGCAGGCCTGGTGCAGTGGTGAGAGCTGTCTCACTGAGTCACCAGGTCGTGGGTTCGAAGCAGCCTCTCCGCAGATTTTGCGGGGGAAAGGCTTGTCTCGGTTTATCCCTTCCCCAGACCCCACTTGTGTGGGAGCCTCCGGCACTGGGTCTGCCCTTTTTAGTTACAGCGTGAGAGGCTCTTTCTTTTTACATGAGGCGGTTCTAGACAGGCTCCTCCATGAAAAGATCATAGTGAGGGGGAAAATAGGAATATTCAACTTAAATAGATAATGCTGTGAGAGATATTAGGGCGATGAGAAGTTAAACTGTATGCCTGTCTTCCCCTTGTCATGATCAAACTGTTTTAGGATGTAGCAGTAATTCATCTGGACAAGAGGAGAAAAACGTGTTAACTAAACTTATATGTGGAAAATTCATCACCAACTTTAATGTAAAAAACCGAAGAATGCAAAGGGGTAAACCTCTATGCGAAACAGTCTGGTTGGCACAACCACACCGAATCCTGCAGAACTTCTGAATGTATGTAGGAAGTCAGTAACAGGGAACTTCCAAAGATCATAGTCCGTTAATTTACCAAGATTTCCAGCACAGACAAAAGCATGACCATGAATTCCCAGATCCCTGAGCGGCTTCAGAGGCAGATCAAATGACAGGTCGGCAAAGGCTGTCACTGCTATGTCACCTCCAAGACCATTTAGCTCAGGAGAAGTGGAAGTGCCATTGTCAGAATTATGGGGGTCATGTGTTCTGAATTCTGTTGCCCCCAGTCCTCTTGTTTTGAAGCCTAATAGTGAAGATGGTCCACCCAAGCGGCATACAAGAGGCCTATTACCACCCAAGTAAAATCTTTCTAAAAGTGATGAGACAGTTCCTGTGGATCCCCTCTCCAATGGATGGATGACTCCCACAGCCACTCCGGCATTGAAAGCGCCATTCAGCACACCCAGAGGCAAAGCCACTCGAAGATCAAATTCCTGATATACAACCAAGAAAATAATAAATACCTTTCAGTTCAAATCAGTTCAGTTGTTGATAAAAAAATATCCTAATGCGCAGGGTATTCGATTCTAGAAAATAAAAACGATGAAATCATTTTCACAGAAATTTTAAACTAATTTTTTTATGCCATGAGCAAGGACTGAAAAAGGGGAGCTGCTATTTTGATGCTTTAACATAGCACAGAACTTTGAAAGTTTTTTGACCTTGGTCAGTGGTCAGACAACAAAAGATATACTATTGGGAGAATGGTAGACTGACAATAATCAGCATTGTTAACATTGATCATGAATTTGCAAAGCCAGAGGTACAAATACAATACAATTTTAAGTATTCAATCAAAGATTCACAATGATGTCTAAGAAAAAGACAATAATAAGGGTCACTTAGGATTCAATTAAAAGGTGTGTTATGTAAAGCCTAGTTTTCAAGCAGGACAAAGGATGATATACCTGCCTAAGAAATCGTGAATATTTGCTCCCTGGTGCGAGGCCTCCAACTTGAGAAGACGACAGAAAAGCATATCCACGTGTAGGTCTTATGCTTGAGTCCCTTTGGTCAACCTTGTACGCGTACTTAATAGAGGACAAAAGGCTATGTCCTAATTCCTCTTGTACGGAACTGGATGACATGTGTGTTGGATCAGTTAATTTTCTCCATGTCAAATTGTAAGCAAGGTTGTGGTTCATGGTGGAGAGCAAGCCAACAGAAACACCCATCAGGTGTTCTTTGAGTGAGGACTTTAACCAGTCATCAAACAGAAGTGATATTCTAACCATCAGCGGAGTTGGTATTGCTCCGATTCTAGGCATTTGGACTCCAGCACTTAGTTCTGCTGTCTTATCTAATTCAAGAGCACCCGATGCATCCCAGGTCTCACAGTATCCAAGTAGGTTCTTCAACTTCACTGAACCTTCAAGTGAGCATGATCTAGTCTGCAAAAGGTTCACATCAAGAAACTTGGCGAGACTTGAGAAAGTGGATTTGGGAACCAATTCAAGTCATGCATGTGATATAGTGACATTAAATCATCATTTATCGTAACAGAGTAGGTTCTGAAGATCAATCATGTTAAGTCAAAATTACCAGGAATAAACAGT